ATAAGCTACCTAGTTGTGCTACTTCGATGTGTATCTATAAATTTAGTTGCTCCTGTGGAGAAAGCTATATAGGGCGAACAACTAGACAACTTAACAAACGCATAAACGAGCATCTTCCTTCATGGTTGGGAAAAGGTCAAATAAAATCCATACGAAGTTCTATTTTGGCTCATTTGATTGATAGCGGTCACCAAGTGGACAAAAATAATGCTTTCAAAGTTGTCTATCGTATTCCATCTAGTCTTTCGAATGGAATCAGAATCCGTCTTTTACACCTAGCCGAAGACTCTATGGGAGTTAATTCGAGAGAACAATCCTAGTCTTTACGTACACAAAAGAAGTTTGTTCTACCTTTGTCTCTCCCTTGCTTGGCCTAGGTGAATTCTAATCAAAACCCTCCCAACCTTTCTTATTTCCACCTCCTTCGTATTTTTATGTTATTTATTTAAACTCTGATCATCGTTCCACTTCACCTTTTAATATTTGACCCAATTCATTTATATACAGACAGACAGACAACAAAGAACACTAAAGGTCACATCACGTGGTGTGAGTTACATTAAATTAACCAATAATCGCGACAAGAAGGTCACATCATATTGTAAAAAATTATATTTGTAAAATCTCAGCGACATTGAAATAAGTAATTCCAACGTTTCGTTCGGCAATCTGGTCCGAACTTCTTCAGGGAAATTAATCAAAATTAACATAACAGAGGTTTTATATATAAAAGGCACATATTTTTAAAAACTTTGTCCAATCATGATTCATAAACACAAGTATTAACAAGTATAAGAAACAAAATTGTATGAGTTGTGATCAAAATTTGACCTCGGACTTACAAATATTGGTCTACCTTTGTTAAACACTAAACAGAGTGTGTATGTGTGTGTGGGTAAACAGTTGTAAAACATTTCTTAACGTCTCCATAAGAAGATATGGACAGTCGAGAATTTTGACCAAGTATTAATAATTAGTGATACATATCCATTTTTTATTTATTAATAAGGATTTCCTATGCATCAACTAACATCTCGCCTGCATGTCTGTTCAAACTGTTAGTATCTAGAATTTTATGATTAGACGTATTTTCAAAATTATGGTGTTTAGGATTAGAGTTTAGTTTAAGCACCCTGTCGAACTTATTGCATTGTCTTCTTTCTGAATATTGAGCTGCTTTATTCGACCTACTGGGGTTGTCAGGTGACTCGACAGCTACGGATTTAGGATGTGCAGTTTGTTCCAGACAACGGAGACTGAAAACACGATGATTGTGCCAATTACATAGTTTCTTTGTTAATTTAATTCGATAGCAAAATAATTCAAATGAACTGTCGTCAAGATTTGACCGAATAGTTCTAAAATATTTGGGCGCCGAGTGAGAAGTAGACATTTGTAAAAAATTATATTTGTAAAATCTCATATTGATTAGCTGTCTATCACATAGTCTATCTAGCTATCGCGATTAACACCCATGACTGCACACTTGGTGTGTTCCTGCATAGATAGGTATATATATATATATATATATATATATATATATACATGGCTCGAGTTGAAACTTCACCGAAATTTTCGACCACAATAAGATCATGAATGTCAAGTCAGAAACCAAAAATAAATACTTGATAATATATCCTGGTGATAGATATGAATAGGTGGAAGTCACTCATGTCAGCCAGCAGTACTTGTTAGCTAGACTGAGGTGATTTAAACACCGGAATGCTGTTACACTTCTAAGGGGTGAAGCTTATCTGTGTCAAACGAAATCTAACTGAGCTAAGTATTTATTTTCCTTCACGTTCCCAGTGGAACATAGTGCTTCCACCTAGTTGCTTGAAGTTTCTGTAGCAGTGTTTATTTTTACGGGATGGGGTTGCTGGCCTCATGCCCAACCTTTTCTCTGTACCAATATTATTTCTGACTTAGCGAGGTAAAGGAGTGCGTCGGCTGGGGATCCAATCCCGGACCTTGTGCACGGTCAGCGAGCGTCCTAACCGCTGTGCCACCGACGCACAAGCTAAGAGGGTCATCTAATTAGTTCAGCCCCAAAAGAACGAAACATTTTCCCGTGTTTATAATACTTTAGTCTGGCCTTTACATTTACTTTCAGAATTCCACACGTGACAGAACTGTTGCACTTTTGTATCGTCAAAAATATCAGATTGCTCACCTGACGATGACATGCAACTAGGCTAGACAGTTATCATAGGTCCACACGTGTCTTGGACGTCAAAATGTTGATGGAAGTGAATTAATAATAATAATAATTTGTATTTCGTAAGTTTACAAGAAATGCACGCCATTTTTACAGTCACGATCAGTAATGTTATAAATTACAATCCTGAAGTATCATACATAAATTAATACTTTTTCAAAAGTTTGAATTGTTCAATTATTGTACAAGCAATCAGAACATGTTCTTATAAATGTTAAATTGCAAAACCGTTTACTAAGGTCACCATCAAAGTTGAGTGATAACCCAAACTTTTTTCCGTTTCCTGCTGATACAGCGTATATCTGGGTGAGTGAGTGCTATACCGCCACGAGACTGAACGCTATTTCAGGAAGAGAAGAAAATTCTGAGCAGCTGCAAAATGGTATAAAATGCAATTATGAATAATACATTATTGGAAGTATATCTACAAGATAAATACAAGGAGAAGCTATATAGTACTTGAAATGATAGTATACATTTGCAATGTTTAATGCTAATCATATTGGTCCAATCATGGAAAATATGATGTTTTCGATGAAGATATAGCTTTGTTCAAACATTGGTGTTGTTGTGTTTCTAATCAAAGCAACCAGACTTTGGGCAAGCAACAAATATGAACAAAGAGCAAGTTTTAGCTTTAATAAAGGCCTAGGTAGTTAAGATCAGATAGAGTATAATAGTGCGTAAATAAAAAGATTATTGTGAGGTAGGTAAGTGATATTTAAGTGGGGAGTGAATTCAATCTTCTATAAAAGCAGGCGAATATCAGGCCTGTATGGATGCCTTGAATGCAATTTTTGCAAACGATGGGTGCACTGCCATTGTGATAAAGGAGCGTCGAAATCATACTATGAGTTTACGCCAAATAACCCGTGCCCATGTTTTTGGTACACTTGCCCACTTTGTCGCCTTGGCACTGTCTCACTCGGAGTGTCTTCAGATGACAGAAACAGGAAGCAACTTTTCTGTCTCGACACAGTCTCATGCCTCGCTCCACTTGACAACACCACATCACCAAATCTAAGCAAAAACGGTAAAAAGGACATTCCATTCCAACCGACTGGAAATATCAGTCTTCATAAACTAAAGTCTCCCAAAGTTACACGTGGAACAGCAGCGGGAGTTGCCAAACGACCACTTTCGTCCACCCGGCAGACATGGTAACATAACAAAGACTAGTCAGACCCTAATTAAGTCTAAAGTAGCCGACCCTACAAAGGAGGACGAACGACCAAAGACAATAAATGGTGTTCTGGAATAGGAAAGCAGCACTTCTTGTGAAAAACACATGCATGACGTACGGCAGCGGAGATAATTGTCATCCGGTATGACCCCTCGTGCTTCCGGAGTAATCTCGGTTTGCCTGCAACCTCGTCCCACTCATCTCACATTGATCGGCTTCCCAAGGCTACTGAGTGTCAAATTCACTTCACATGGAACAGTTAGCTCTAGAACTTTAACGGCGGTACGAGACCAAAGGGAAAATGGGAGGACATTCGCCGCTGCAAAAGTAGGCCCCGAACCATAAGGGGGAAGCAGACTGAGGTCACAGTACATTTCCATGCCTCAGTGACACTACAAGTGTGGCACTGAGAATGGCAGCCCAGTGTCACCTAAGTGTTCTAGCTGAATCCAAGGGAAAAAATGACAACAAGCCGGTCTAAGTGGAACTGGCCAACTGGTTCCAGCATTGAGTCCTCTGCCGGCAGTCTAGGTAGCATCAACTATTCCACAACACGCTGAGGTGACGAGACTCACTGTCAGATGCCTGCATAGCCATGTGTTAGGCTGAGAGGGAAAATGGGTGAACTCAAAAACCTCCAGCAACACCAAAATCTGCCTAACCCACAATGTTACTGGAAACAAATCAGTATAAGTGATATGGTTCTGATCAGGTGAGCCAGGGATAACAAGGAACGTGGCAGCCTCCATATGTCTCGACAAACAACTTGAAGAGTGACTATATTGCATATAAAATAATGTACATTCCGTAATTATAGGCAAACTAGGAAATGCACCAAGTCACTAAATATATACGAACTTTCATTGAGCGTACAACGGAGAGGCGATTTAAAGGAATCCATATGGCCCAGAGTTCACGTGAAGGAACACATGTCTACATCTGAAGGTGCGTGTGTAAGGTATCGCATTTCGTCTAAATGACTCAATGGGACGCCTCCATATTTAACAAATGCTCAGTCCATGAATTCTACTTGTACATGGAGACATTTTACAACAAAAGAATATCCTGCCAGCATGTGGTGCTGTGTTACACTAGAGTCCCGCAGTTTACTGGTAAATCACATTTAATATCAGTATTACCGCTCCCAGTTAAAAAGGAATTCGACTGTGTCACAGATGCGTTCAGCTCGATTCATCAGTACAAAGTATTGTTCCCTATGAGAGTGCATCGAAGAAATCCTGCAGGGAGATATTGCAGCTTCGCCGAAAATTGAATCGAAGCATTTCACTTATACAAGATGTATACAGTAAAGAATACACTATTAACTCACTGCACTCAGCCCTACATTACCCTGTAAAATTTTCTTGTTAGCAAATGAAACATGTACATATACATATTGTGTCAGAAACTTCAGATACACATTAACATATAAATTTCATACGCCTTCTTTCTCACTACTACTCCATATAATAATAACAGTTAGATAGTTATTTACGAATGCAGTTAAAGGTATTTCATGGACCACGAGTAGCACTTGGTATTCAATTCAGCAGAGGTATGGAAACTTAGTGAAAGTAATTTAGTGAACTAATACGACGAGGTTAGCATTTCACTAATATATACGCGCCTATCAACGCAATGAAAAGATAATGACGAATTGTTATCACAAGCATTGTATTCACTATGGAGGGAATGGAATGTTATTACAGGAAAACTTCACAGTAACATGTACAAGTCTTGCATGTCATTGCATCAGTAATATCAGCGTACTAATTGTACTACGGCCCGAAGTGAATTATCTCAAGGCTTCATACCAACAACTTTGTGGGAGGTGGATGTATTGAAAGACTGCTTGCAGACACCATGTATGACGACTTCTAGTAGAATGCCTACAATGACTGACAACCTGCAATCAGGAAAACAAAAATGAAACAATTAGGAGACACATAAAGCATACGATAAGTAATTTTGATATAAGCATAAAACTTGGGCACTGCAGTGGTAGAGTATAACTCCATTATGGATAAGATTTCATTTCGATAAATCACTCAGTGCTGTTGTACAGCAATATTATCTGATGACGTTTCGACCACAAATTATTGCTCATGATTATATCAAGTAACTCACTCACTCACACAACTTTTTGCTTCATTCATATACATGAGTATTTTAGTTAGGCGTACTACAGGCATAAGAAATCACTCATCTCATTCACTTCTGTTCACACTATTTCCTACATTCATGTTACTGACTTTTGGTTCATAGTTTCTTCTTCGGTGCACACTATCTGAACAATTTAAGGAATTGGGAAAGGCATAGAGTACTTAGGAAAAGGCATTATTAATTGTTCAAGCCAATTAACATTGTAGTGAGTTGTGACACTAGGCAGCTGCAGTGACAAAGCTGAATGACTGACTTTCAACACAGAAGCTTGCACACAAGTGCACCCGCCGTTTAAGTTATCACATTCCACTAAGCACACAAAGGTGGAGAAAAAGGAAATTAACTGGAACTCTAATGAGCATAAATGTCATGGAAAACGAACAGTGATATGGAAAATACATAAGGGTTGCTCAGATATGAGAGATTACACACACACTGAATGCATCTGTGTCATTAACAACGTTTGAAGTCACATTTCTACTCAACACTATGAGCTTAACCCCAATATTACTCACCATCATACTAGACTACTTAACACAGCGGAAAAGACACAGACACTACGATCAAATACCAGTAGTCTTTTCACATCTTCCAGTTTCAATGGTCACTTCTCACAGCCTAAGTGGACAATGTCATCAGCATACACCAAGTTGACGAGACTGTTCCACAGTAAGCCCCTAAAGTCAATGACAGACAATTCTACTGATACATGTATGACGAAAGTGAACTGATATAAGGACGACAGTTGTAGAAATGAGCCTTGCATTCTATCCTTCTTGGAAATATCAGTTTCCTCATAGTTTAGTTAAGTTTCAGCATCAAGTGAATGGAATGGAATGCAATCTACAGATTCATGAAATTCACATACTGACGTACTACCACTACTTTTCCAGAATCCTAGTCAATGTCTCCTCAGTAAAGTGAGAAATGGGCATTGTACTTGTGTAAACTCAATTGGCTGTGAACCACTGCCAGTGAAAATGACAACAATTCTTGGAATTATCAGTTATAAATTTAGCTTGATCGCATGAAACATTCATCAGTTGTTAAACGGCCACTTGATGAACATCGACTTCGGGTGCCTTGCAGATTTCTTGGGATAGATTTCGGGCGCATTACAGTTTTTTTTCAGGGGCAGGCTTAGGGGCATTGTTCCACGTAAGTCTATGGCGCCCGAAGTTTTTGCCCCAAAACTTCTGCAGTAAGCGTGAGAATAATGCTAGCTGCGTAAATTCAACTAATATACCTTTTTATATGAGCAATCAATTAAATATACCTTTCACTATCTGAGTACACATAATAGGCCGTTTCATCAGAAGTCTTCTACTAGTCTGTAATCCTTGTCGGAAAAGAAGCGGTTGAATTCACAGTTTCTATTGTAATGACATAAAAACTAGCATGGTACCACTAAATGAGTTTCCTATTTCCTCTTTCTCGGAGAGGAACGCTGGCGTGGGCGTGCGAGAGCAGGAAGAAGACCGTTGTTAGTCAAAACTTGTTATAAATGACGACAATTAGCTTGTACTCGGGCAATTCGAGTCTTGCGTTGTGGAATTGAAGACCTTTCTCTCGCATCTCCGTCTTCTTCCTTCGTTGGTTGTGCCTGTTGCTTTTGAGTGTTACAACTGGTGTCGGAGGTGGTGTCTTGAACTCAATCTCCATATGAAAGCAGATTCTGACGAACTTCCTCAAATCATTCTCAGTCAGCAATGATTTCGGGCGCATTGCAGACATTTTTTAGGGCATTCTAATGAACGGTGATTGACTAGAAATCAACCAGTGGGAGTAACCCATATGCACTTCACCGATCAATGACAGCTAACTTTGCTAAACTGCGTTACAATGAATCTGAATTAGTGATTAGTAATACATAAATTGAAATTATATACTTATTCAATATAAGCAATCAATTAAACATACTTTTTACTATCTGAATACATCATAATAGGCCACTTCATCAGAAGTCTTTTACTAGACTAGAATCCTTGGAAGCGGTTGAATTCTCAGTTTGTATTTCCACTGGCGTGAGTTTCCTGCGTGCTTGCCAACCTCCTAGTTTACCAATCTTTTGGAAGTAATTAATTGCATACTTATATGTTTAATATCACGACTATTACACAGTACTGCCCACTTTTATTATTAGACATAGCATATAATCAGTGTAGACTGCAGAAATTCCTTTCTTTAAATTGTTTCCGATTTCTTCCAGGTAAAATGAGCTCTAAGGGTTCTCCGTCCAGCGTGACCAAGACACTAAACAACCTAAATGACAGCAGAACACCAGCTAGTGTCGAACCACAACGCCGGACGTATTTGAGACTACGTAAGTTACATTTATCAATCTTCTCTGACGAAGCAGCGAAACTTAATTATGACTTCAGCCGATATAGGTCAGTCAATGTACTATCGACGTCTCAACAAATACAATACAAACTGGAGTGGAAGAAGCATTCAGGAGGTGAGCTTGTTATTTCAAATTAATGTACACAGAATTATATTCCAAATCTCGTGAAATTGAACTGAACCGCAGCCAGAAATTACGCCAGGAAACATGGTTACTCCCCGACAACCTGCCGTTCCAGTTGATGTTCCTTGTGATACCATTGCATTGCATCTCCACCGTCATTCGAGGAACACTTAACGGCTGAGCAACTGAGAAAGCTAACCGCAGCGAGTGCACTGCACTGCAGTTGATGCCATTCGCAACATTGTCTACCGATGCAAGCTGAATATGGCAAATACTCGTATTGTGCTGGAAGAACTTAAGTCCCTGCATCCTGAGTTGCCGACTGACCCTCGGACATTGATGAGGACTGAAGACTTTTCAAAGGAGAGCAGTTGGTCCTAGGATGTATGTTCACATTGGCCTTCGTCGTCAGATTTTGTCTCGCTTACAAATTCTCAAATCTGAAGTCTCTGTGCCAGCCAATTGGTCTGCAGCTGAACATTGATGGTGCTCCAATTTTCAACAACTCCACATTGCAGATGTGGCCAATACAAGGGAAGTTACTTTTGTCTGGCTGCGACAAGGTATTCTTGGTAGGTGTCTACTGTGGTTCATGTTAACCTTTAAGTATACACACTTTTTTGAGGGACACTATAGTCGAATTAGAATGCATTTGTGCTAATGGTATCACATCGCATTGACATTGTACTTAAGGGCGTCATATCTGTGACACACCAGCAAGAGCACTAGTTAAGCAAATAAGCGGTCACAATTCAACACAAGGATGCGATAAATGTGAGGCTGTATGCCGCCGTGCAAATAATCGCATGGTTTATCCTACTACATGTGCCGCTTTAGGAACAGACACGGCTTTTACAGTTTACAATTTATTTAGGATAGTAGGCTATATGCCTGTGTTAATCCTTTCGATTTGTTACATACAGGAGGTCCAATCTCGCCTTGAATGAATCAACGGATGGCGCTGATACGACGTGTTCCGGTAGGGAGTTCCAATGGTTCACAATCCGATGCGAAAAACGGATCTCCAAACGCAGACGATTCGACCGTAGTTTTTGAACCTTGAGGTGATGTCCTCGCAATTGGTTGGTGCTAGAAGGAAGAAATAAATTAGATAAATTTGCTCCAAAATCATTTCTTAGGATACGGTATGCTAGTATTAGGTCACCCCTAAGTCGTCTGTATGACAGTGGAAATAAACCCAGTCGACTTAACCTCTCTTCATATGAGAGGGTTGAGAAACCTTTTATTAGCTTAGTTCCTACTCTTTGCACCCTTTCTAATAAGTCTATTTCGTATTTGAAACACGGGCTCGCTGACTGGATCCCATATTCCAGATGAGGTCTGATATAAGTCGGATATAATATACGAAATATTTCAGCGTCAAAATTCGCAAAAGCTTTGCGTATGGCCCATAATATTCGAAAACCCTTAGTGGCTGCAGCTCTACAGTTTGTTGCTGTTTTCAAGTCATGCTGCACAACCACTCCCAAGTCCTTGAACTCAGTGACCACTGGAAGAGTAATGCCATTCATTGAGTAATTGTGCACGTGACTATGAGATACATGCATAACTACACTCTTGCTTAAGTTAATCTCCAAGGCCCAGTGCTTACACCAATCACTTAACAAGTTTAAATCTTCCTGCAAAGCAAGTTGATCACTGTCATCGTGTAAAGCCCTCCAAATCTTGATGTCGTCAGCAAACAGTAAGCAGGATGACCTAACTACCGATGGAATCTCATTAACATAAATCAGGAAAAGAAGTGGGCCTAGAATTGTACCCTGAGGAACGCCACTCTTAACCGATTCCCATGTTGATAAAACCCCGTTAACTCGTACTCTTTGTCTTCTGTCCTTTAGAAAGTCTTGAATCCAGTCGGCAACCACTTTATTGATTCCCATACTACCTAACTTTACTAGAAGACCTGAATGAGAAACCCTGTCAAACGCCTTGCTAAGGTCGATGAATATGGCATCCACCGGTATATTAGCATCAGCTGAGCTTGACCAACCTTCTTTTGGCCAGAGAAAGTTGGGCAAGCAAGAATGACCTGCTCTAAAACCATGCTGTTCCACAGCGAAAAGTTTGTTCCCTTCAATGAACTGAATGATAGCATCACGAATTATTCTTTCTAGTAGTTTAACAACAATACTGGTCAAACTAACAGGACGATAGTTCTGAACTAAGTTTCTAGATCCGGTTTTGAAGACCGGACTAATGATGGCATCTTTCCAGTCTCTTGGACATTTAGACTGGTCCAGAGACATTGAAGATTACCGACAAACAGGCAAACGTTGCAATGTCACCATAAGGGTAAATCTCCATTCGAGAAATTGCATGTAGACATGATCACTGTTTTTCCTCTAGACAGCATGCAGCATCTCATATACTTAGGTGTAGTTCGAAAGTTGATTGGCCTGTGGAAATTGAAGGCCACAGCTAGGGAAGATGGTATGAATAATACTATTTTAAACACTGTTAACTCTAGACTGCTAAGCTCACATAAGTTGACTCCCTCTGAATTCCAGCGTAAGTGTCGAACATTAGACGACGTTGAGCGTTGGAAAGCAACAGAGTACCGACTGTTCCTCTCATATTTAGGAGTGGTATACCTGAAAGACGTATTACCACCTTGCTTTTATGATAACTTCTTCGATTTATTCCTGGCATGCTACATTTTAAGTCATCCAACTTATTCTTCATATTACCTAGATGACATCAAAAACTTCTTGTTGGAATTCGTAGAGAACTTTAGGTCATTATTTGGGGAGGATAACATGGTGTACAATATCCATGGGTTACTTCATATTAGTGAGGACGTACGACAGCACGGACCCCTAGACACTTTCTCATGCTTCCCATTTGAGTCTAACATACGTTTCATGCAGACTCTCGTTACAGGTCCCAATAACCCAGCCGTCCAAATAGGTAGACGTCTAGGAGAAAGATGCTTAGTGGAAGCTGACTCTGCCAAATCAGAGATGACTACTAATGCATCTGTAAATGTGTCTAAACAGACTGCAACTTTTTCCAGTTTTAAAGTAAGCTCATTTCCCCCTAACAATCCCTTTTTGGTAGGATATATACCAGGAGTTGTTTCTGAAATTGCTAGCGGAAATCATTTTCGATTTCGAGCTTATAAGAAACCCCAGAGTTTTTTTGAACACCCACTGGATTCTAGGGATATTGGAATATATCAGGTAGACAACTTGGAGGGTGAGACAAGTATTAGGACTTTCAGTGGAATTCGGGCGAAGTGCATTGGCTTAAGACTTTTGCATAACTCCGTTTTAATTTCAATATTGCACACCTCTAAACTGTCGTGATTTACTTAGTACTGTAGTTTACAGTGAGCCACAGTTAACCCCTATCAAGGATACAAACAAACAGTGAGTTTACTTTTCTATTCACTTGATTAAATTATAATACGCACACTTATATCAAAATACGTCTTGCAAGACTTCCCTTCTTCCTATGTACCTATTTTCGTATGTAATAGTCGTACATTATTTGTAGATGAGTAAGCAGTTCCTGTTAGTCAAGGTACCTGCCCTGAATGATGTCTTGATTGTTAGTGAGGAGTGGATGGCTGGAAAATTCTTGATGCTCACGAATTTGACTTTGTGAGCATCAAGAATTTTCCAGCCATCCACTCCTCACTAACAATCAAGACATCATTCAGGGCAGGTACCTTGACTAACAGGAACTGCTTACTCATCTACAAATAATGTACGACTATTACATACGAAAATAGGTACATAGGAAGAAGGGAAGTCTTGCAAGACGTATTTTGATATAAGTGTGCGTATTATAATTTAATCAAGTGAATAGATAAGTAAACTCACTGTTTGTTTGTATCCTTGATAGGGGTTAACTGTGGCTCACTGTAAACTACAGTACTAAGTAAATCACGACAGTTTAGAGGTGTGCAATATTGAAATTAAAACGGAGTTATGCAAAAGTCTTAAGCCAATGCACTTCGCCCGAATTCCACTGAAAGTCCTAATACTTGTCTCACCCTCCAAGTTGTCTACCTGATATATTCCAATATCCCTAGAATCCAGTGGGTGTTCAAAAAAACTCTGGGGTTTCTTATAAGCTCGAAATCGAAAATGATTTCCGCTAGCAATTTCAGAAACAACTCCTGGTATATATCCTACCAAAAAGGGATTGTTAGGGGGAAATGAGCTTACTTTAAAACTGGAAAAAGTTGCAGTCTGTTTAGACACATTTACAGATGCATTAGTAGTCATCTCTGATTTGGCAGAGTCAGCTTCCACTAAGCATCTTTCTCCTAGACGTCTACCTATTTGGACGGCTGGGTTATTGGGACCTGTAACGAGAGTCTGCATGAAACGTATGTTAGACTCAAATGGGAAGCATGAGAAAGTGTCTAGGGGTCCGTGCTGTCGTACGTCCTCACTAATATGAAGTAACCCATGGATATTGTACACCATGTTATCCTCCCCAAATAATGACCTAAAGTTCTCTACGAATTCCAACAAGAAGTTTTTGATGTCATCTAGGTAATATGAAGAATAAGTTGGATGACTTAAAATGTAGCATGCCAGGAATAAATCGAAGAAGTTATCATAAAAGCAAGGTGGTAATACGTCTTTCAGGTATACCACTCCTAAATATGAGAGGAACAGTCGGTACTCTGTTGCTTTCCAACGCTCAACGTCGTCTAATGTTCGACACTTACGCTGGAATTCAGAGGGAGTCAACTTATGTGAGCTTAGCAGTCTAGAGTTAACAGTGTTTAAAATAGTATTATTCATACCATCTTCCCTAGCTGTGGCCTTCAATTTCCACAGGCCAATCAACTTTCGAACTACACCTAAGTATATGAGATGCTGCATGCTGTCTAGAGGAAAAACAGTGATCATGTCTACATGCAATTTCTCGAATGGAGATTTACCCTTATGGTGACATTGCAACGTTTGCCTGTTTGTCGGTAATCTTCAATGTCTCTGGACCAGTCTAAATGTCCAAGAGACTGGAAAGATGCCATCATTAGTCCGGTCTTCAAAACCGGATCTAGAAACTTAGTTCAGAATTATCGTCCTGTTAGTTTGACCAGTATTGTTGTTAAACTACTAGAAAGAATAATTCGTGATGCTATCATTCAGTTTATTGAAGGGAACAAACTTTTTGCTGTGGAACAGCATGGTTTTAGAGCAGGTCATTCTTGCTTGACCCAACCTTCTTTTGGCCAGAGAAAGTTGGGCAAGCTCAGCTGATGCTAATATACCGGTGGATGCCATATTCATCGACCTTAGCAAGGCGTTTGACAGGGTTTCTCATTCAGGTCTTCTAGTAAAGTTAGGTAGTATGGGAATCAATAAAGTGGTTGCCGACTGGATTCAAGACTTTCTAAAGGACAGAAGACAAAGAGTACGAGTTAACGGGCTTTTATCAACATGGGAATCGGTTAAGAGTGGCGTTCCTCAGGGTACAATTCTAGGCCCACTTCTTTTCCTGATTTATGTTAATGAGATTCCATCGGTAGTTAGGTCATCCTGCTTACTGTTTGCTGACGACATCAAGATTTGGAGGGCTTTACACGATGACAGTGATCAACTTGCTTTGCAGGAAGATTTAAACTTGTTAAGTGATTGGTGTAAGCACTGGGCCTTGGAGATTAACTTAAGCAAGAGTGTAGTTATGCATGTATCTCATAGTCACGTGCACAATTACTCAATGAATGGCATTACTCTTCCAGTGGTCACTGAGTTCAAGGACTTGGGAGTGGTTGTGCAGCATGACTTGAAAACAGCAACAAACTGTAGAGCTGCAGCCACTAAGGGTTTTCGAATATTATGGGCCATACGCAAAGCTTTTGCGAATTTTGACGCTGAAATATTTCGTATATTATATCCGACTTATATCAGACCTCATCTGGAATATGGGATCCAGTCAGCGAGCCCGTGTTTCAAATACGAAATAGACTTATTAGAAAGGGTGCAAAGAGTAGGAACTAAGCTAATAAAAGGTTTCTCAACCCTCTCATATGAAGAGAGGTTAAGTCGACTGGGTTTATTTCCACTGTCATACAGACGACTTAGGGGTGACCTAATACTAGCATACCGTATCCTAAGAAATGATTTTGGAGCAAATTTATCTAATTTATTTCTTCCTTCTAGCACCAACCAATTGCGAGGACATCACCTCAAGGTTCAAAAACTACGGTCGAATCGTCTGCGTTTGGAGATCCGTTTTTCGCATCGGATTGTGAACCATTGGAACTCCCTACCGGAACACGTCGTATCAGCGCCATCCGTTGATTCATTCAAGGCGAGATTGGACCTCCTGTATGTAACAAATCGAAAGGATTAACACAGGCATATAGCCTACTATCCTAAATAAATTGTAAACTGTAAAAGCCGTGTCTGTTCCTAAAGCGGCACATGTAGTAGGATAAACCATGCGATTATTTGCACGGCGGCATACAGCCTCACATTTATCGCATCCTTGTGTTGAATTGTGACCGCTTATTTGCTTAACTAGTGCTCTTGCTGGTGTGTCACAGATATGACGCCCTTAAGTACAATGTCAATGCGATGTGATACCATTAGCACAAATGCATTCTAATTCGACTATAGTGTCCCTCAAAAAAGTGTGTATACTTAAAGGTTAACATGAACCACAGTAGACACCTACCAAGAATACCTTGTCGCAGCCAGACAAAAGTAACTTCCCTTGTATTGGCCACATCTGCAATGTGGAGTTGTTGAAAATTGGAGCACCATCAATGTTCAGCTGCAGACCAATTGGCACAGAGACTTCAGATTTGAGAATTTGTAAGCGAGACAAAATCTGACGACGAAGGCCAATGTGAACATACATCCTAGGACCAACTGCTCTCCTTTGAAAAGTCTTCAGTCCTCATCAATGTCCGAGGGTCAGTCGGCAACTCAGGATGCAGGGACTTAAGTTCTTCCAGCACAATACGAGTATTTGCCATATTCAGCTTGCATCGGTAGACAATGTTGCGAATGGCATCAACTGCAGTGCAGTGCACTCGCTGCGGTTAGCTTTCTCAGTTGCTCAGCCGTTAAGTGTTCCTCGAATGACGGTGGAGATGCAATGCAATGGTATCACAAGGAACATCAACTGGAACGGCAGGTTGTCGGGGAGTAACCATGTTTCCTGGCGTAATTTCTGGCTGCGGTTCAGTTCAATTTCACGAGATTTGGAATATAATTCTGTGTACATTAATTTGAAATAACAAGCTTACCTCCTGAATGCTTCTTCCACTCCAGTTGGTATTTGTTGAGACGTCGATAGTACATTGACTGACCTATATCGACTGAAGCCATAATTAAGTTTCGCTGCTTCGTCAGAGAAGATTGATAAATGTAACTTACGTAGTCTCAAATACGTCCGGCGTTGTGGTTCGACACTAGCTGGTGTTCTGCTGTCATTTAGGTTGTTTAGTGTCTTGGTCACGCTGGACGGAGAACCCTTAGAGCTCATTTTACCTGGAAGAAATCGGAAACAATTTAAAGAAAGGAATTTCTGCAGTCTACACTGATTATATGCTATGTCTAATAATAAAAGTGGGCAGTACTGTGTACTAGTCGTGATATTAGACATATAAGTATGCAATTAATTACTTCCAAAAGATTGGTAAACTAGGAGGTTGGCAAGCACGCAGGAAACTCACGCCAGTGGAAATACAAACTGAGAATTCAACCGCTTCCAAGGATTCTAGTCTAGTAAAAGACTTCTGATGAAGTGGCCTATTATGATGTATTCAGATAGTAAAAAGTATGTTTAATTGATTGCTTATATTGAATAAGTATATAATTTCAATTTATGTATTACTAATCACTAATTCAGATTCATTGTAACGCAGTTTAGCAAAGTTAGCTGTCATTGATCGGTGAAGTGCATATGGGTTACTCCCACTGGTTGATTTCTAGTCAATCACCGTTTATTAGAATGCCCTAAAATATCTGTTATGCGCCCGAAGTTTCAGTCGGTATCTGCAGTGCGCCCGAAGTCTGCCCCAAAAGTCTGCAGTGCGCCCGAAATCTGCCCCAAAAAGTCTGCAATGCGCCCGAAAAGTAGTAGTACGTCAGTATGTGAATTTCATGAATCTGTAGATTGCATTCCATTCACTGGATACTGAAACTAAACTAAACTATGAGGAAACTGATATTTCCGAGAAGGATAGAATGCAAGGCTCATTTCTACAACTGTCGTCCTTATTTCAGTCCACTTTCATCATACATGTATCAATAGAATTGTCTGTCATTGACTTTAGGGACTTACTGTGGAACAGTCTCGTCAACTTGGTGTATGCTGATGATATTGTCCACTTAGGCTGTGAGAAGTGACCATTGAAACTGGAAGATGTGAAAAGGCTACTGGTATTTGATCGTAGTGTCTGTGCTCTTTCTTCTGTGTTAAGTAGTCTAATATGGTGATTGCAAACAAGAAAATTTTACAGGGTAATGTAGGGCTGAGTGCAGTGAGTTAATAGTGTATTCTTTCCTGTATACATCTTGTATAAGTGAAATGCTTCGATTTAATTTTCGGTGAAGCTGCAATATCTCCCTGCAGGATTTCTTCGATGCACTCTCATAGGGAACAATACTTTGTACTGATGAATCGAGCTGAAAGCATCTGTGACACAGTCGAATTCCTTTTTAACTGGAAGCGGTAATACTGATATTAAATGTGATTTGTATATACCTGTATTTCCTATCTATGTATGACACACCAGTTTTACAGGGATGCATAATTATAATTTACATTACGTGAGTTTGATTTATAGGGAAATTACATGTTTGCTGTCCTCTCTGACTTTTGTTAGTGAGTGCAATCTGATCGCTAGTCGTTGAATGAAGCACATTAAGAAATATCGAAATATTGTCTTTGCATTAACAAGAAAACCAAGTATGTGTCGGATGAGATAGAAATATTTGGAAAAAAATAAAGCTTGAAGTCATTTCCTCCATATATCATTGTTGCGTGTGGCATCGTATCTTGTTCTTGTTTATGTTCAAATTGGGTATTAATTTTAAATGAGTGATTTATTTGTATGATTTTGACATCATTTTTATTGCAAGTAATACCAGATGTGAAATTCAACTGAATGCAGATTAATATTGGTCATTGTCAAGCAGATTTGTTTTACAGCACGCAAGTCACCCAGAGCTCGCCGTTTGTCACTGCATGTTTGTTCCGTACGAGTAAGTTGATAAACGCGTAGAAAGCTATATAAAAGCCATTTTAGATCGTTGACAGTGCTTGTATAAGATGCTGTACAGCGTCTTGTTATGGTGACAGTGGATTTCATCAAGGATGCTTAGCCATTACTAGCCAAACCTTGAGGGATGATATATGAGTAAGTGACTTCAATTGTTTCTCAGCTTCAGCCGGAGTGTAGATCAATGCAACTTCTACTACAAGGCGAATACAACAGAAGAGGCGAGCAGAAAAGTACCAGAGGGCAGAGAAAAAGTATGTGGGGTGGGACATATATGTTTATATTCGTTGTACATTGTAATTTGATAAAAAATATTTATTTCCACTAAGTCTATTTATGCATTTATGCGACTAGTTTATTTATAGTCTTTAGAGAAGTAAGGGTATTTAAGCGCATTTAGGTACTATAGTAGACTAATAGTTGATTCTTTCTAGGAATAAATGGTTTATTTATATAATCAGTAGAGTGAAGCAGTCTGTGCAGAGAGCTTTTGAAACTTATAACCGTATTGCAGTTCCTGACTTCTAGGGGCAGGTTGTTCCATATTTTTGAATACATGGCTGTGAAGAAGTTTTCGCGGAGTGTTGACTTAAAGGCTTCAGTTGTCACTGTGAAAGTTTGGTTACGCAGATCGTGAGAGCCTTCTTGCGCGAATTGTATGTCCTTAATGTCTGAGAATGATATTTTGTGTAGGACCTTATAGAAGAATACTAGGTTTATAATTAGTCGTCTTGTCCAGAGTGGGTCAAGTTGTAGAATCATGCACCGTGAGATGTAGTCTTTCTTACATTCGTAGCCAAGTAGTTTTGAGGTAAAATATCGTTGGATACTTTCTATTCTTAGCTTTTCACGTGTGTGAGTGCTGCTAATAATAAATGGACAGTATTCTAGTAGTGGCCTCACACAGGATTTGTACAGAATTGGCTTGGCTTCATTGTCGTGAAAGTTCCTGAGTATGCATCCTAAGAGCATCCTCGACTTTCGAGTCTGTGATGCCACTTACTCAGAAAATGCCAGGCCATTAGAATACCTCAGGTCTAAGTGAATGACACTTTGGAGTCTGGTTAGGTTAGCAGATTGAAGCGTTAATTTCAAGTCACTTGAGGGTGCGCCAAAGCAGATCCAACCACATTTGTTCAGGTTAAACTGTAGATTCCATAAAGACGACCAAGCAGTCACTTTATCTAGTTCTTTTTGTACAACATTCAGGAAGTACCCTAGGCCATCAGATTGGAATGTGTAAGCTACTTTGAGGTCATCTGCAAAGATGAATGGTGTCCCATGAGAGAAGCAAGCGCATATGGCGTTAATATATAGAGTAAATAGGAGGGGTCCAATGACACTACCTTGTACTACACTAGAGGTGATTGGGCTAGGTTTCGAAGTTATAGATCCGAGTTTAACTATTTGGTACCTATTGCTAAGGAATGATTTAAGCCATCCTAATAGCGGGTCACGTATTCCTAAAGATTTCAGCTTATGCATTAGTAGTAAATGGTCGACACGGTCAAATGCCTTTGAGATGTCAAAATAGATGACAAGTACTGGTTGTCGTCTGTCACGACTGCTGGTCACAAAGTTAAAGAAGTCTAAGTGGCATGTTAAACAAGATCTGGATTTTAGGAATCCGTGTTGGATCGGACTTATGATGCTGCAGCCAAGCATCTGCTTGATTAGGTTATCTTTAACTAGTCTTTCCATGATTCTAGATGCTATAGGTGTGATATTGATCGGCCTGTAGTTACTGACTTCTGTTTTCGAGCCAGATTTGTGTTTAGGCATAATAAATGTTGTTTTCCATATATCAGGGTAAGTTTGGGTTTCTAGGGACATTGTGAATATTTTACGCAGTAGTAAGGGAATGTCAGGGCCACCATATTTATAAAAATAGGATGACATACCGTCAGTACCGAAACCTTGTGAGCATTTTAGGGTTCTTATAGTTTGTTTAATGTTAGTATAGTTGAATTCAACAGTACTAATTAAGTTTGGTGTGTGTGGAGATGGAGTTTGTGCCACATTAGTAGCAGGGTGTATATTGAGTAACTGGACTGTGGGCTTAAGGTAGTTACCTCCAAAAGTTGAGTTGAATAATTCACACATGTCTGCAGAATTACTACCTTTATCTATGAGGAGAGAAATGCTGTGAATTTTGTGGTTCATTCGCTTCTTTAAGATTTCTGTGAGTGCATACACTCTATCAGGACTAGCTACTGCGATGCATTCTTCGTTACTCATACGCAAATCTCGAGCTTGTAAGATGGAGCTAAGGTTGTTAAGTATTAGACCTAGTGTGCCAAAGTCGTGGTGTTTGAAGTAGCTGGTTGAGAGTCTCTTCAGTTTCGTACGATCCTTTGGTATTATGAATGACTTTCTATGTGGGGAAAGCTTAAGTGTTTGGAGTGGAATGACAGCATCTAAGCATGTGTTTGAGTTATGGTAGAAGATGCTCGGAGCTCTCGAGAGGTCATCAGTAGTGAAGTATTAGCCCCATTCGGAGGATCTTAGCACTGATTCTACTAAGGCCCAGTCTGCTTCACTGTAGTTCCTATATTTTACTTGTTGTGAAGTGGAGGTATGAGCTGCATTGCTACCCAGTGGAAGTGGGAGAGTACACATAACTGTTTTGTGGTCACTACCTGAAAACTTAGAACCCACTAAGATTGAGAGGGGGCTTAAATCTTGACAGAATATTAAGTCTAGTACATTGTCACCTCTTGTAGGGATAGTGACAGTTTGCTTCCAGCCGAAGATGTCCAGTGTCCCTAAGAGCTTGTCGTATTTAGTTGGCCCTTTTAATAAGTCCCAGTTGATTTCCGGTAGGTTGAAGTCTCCACATATGATCTTATGCTCGTATGGAAGAGTGGATACTTGCTCCAGTACATTTATAAGTTGTGTCTCGTAATCACTAAAGGTGCCAGGTGCTCTGTAGATACACCCTATTAGTAGTGTAGCACTTTTGAAGTGTACGCTGACCCATAGGGTGTC